AGCTTTATTTACAAGGCGTTGTGGGCTCAGTAGAACTCTCTGGCCGTAGAAAATGGTTTACTTAAGAGAGTTCGGGAAAGTGCCGATGAGAAATCTACTAACAGCCAACTAGTTGTTCCAAAAGATCGAGTGGAAGATGTATTAAAATAAATACATGATGGAAATTCAGGGGCACATTTTGGAGTTAATTAGACTTTGGACAAAATTCGGGAACGTTTTTACTGGGTTCACTATCACTATCATGAAGACGTTAAAAACTGGTGCCGAAAATGCGACATCTGTGCTACCAGTAGAGGCCCTAAACCAGTGATGCCGCGAGACGAGACGAGATTAGCGGTTGATCTCGTCTCGTCTCGCCTGAGCATCAATCTCGTCTCGTCTCGACCTCGAGATTAACTCGAGACGAGACGAGAGTCGTAGAGAGTCTCGTCTCGTCTCGTCTCGTCTGATCTCGTCTCGCGAAAAAATCGCTTACATTGTTCAACATAACCTATGGATTTTTCTTGCTGGTTTGGATCGTATTTCGTATTAAATAAAATCCAATGTCCAGCTGGTCCAGAGCTATAAGAAACGCAATAGCTGTATTTCTTTCGAGAGCTTGAAACATTAGCGCTCTTACTCGACCCAGCCTGCTTTGAAAGGAACCGCTCGTGAGATGGTGTGTGAGAGGAAAGGACCGAAGGGAGGGCTTGGGGCTTGAGCACTTCGGGTGCAACAAACACGCGAAACGTCACGGAGCTGTTCCGGAGCCCCTCCTTGTGTGGAAGGAATACAGCTATGGCTAACAGCATGTTTTATTTCAAACTTCCTACGACAGTACAATTGGCTTTGAAAACAGTACAATTTGCTCTGAAAGCAGTACAATCGTATGACCCGTTTCACCAAGGAAAATAAACACTACTTCAGGATACAGGATTGCTCATCGGCCTCGATTTGTCGCATCAACATTATATGGTGTAGCACCGTTGCCGACGTCATCAACGGTGCCGACGACTATTTGCGCCAGCGGTCGTAGTTAAGAATTCAAATTTATGATTGATGACATAGTATGTAGAGATGAAGATGAAGAAAAGATTTTAACGAAAGGTTTGTTTTTGAATGCTAATTAATGTACTGAAACCAAGTTCATAAAGCCAAAGCGGAATCATAGCCTGTGGTGTAAACACCCTACGTCAAAGCGACATTAAAGCGAAGAACGACACGCGGACTACGTCATCAGTGGTACTTTGCGTAGTGGGGAGCTTGAGATTTGAACTACACAGACCTTATGGGCAATCTTGTAGTGTTTTATATCCTTGCGGTTTCAGTTCATTTGAAATTTCTCCAGGAACAACACTGCATATACCATATACCTATCATTTATGAAGGCTTTATTCCGTTTCCATCCTTGGTTACGGTTATACGTTCAGTAAATGTCGGTTGCCTGAATAACCGGTATACATATACAGAACACGGTTGCTGAAAATAGTTATGTCAAAATCTGTTTTTCTGGACTCACATATCTACTGTCAGTGTCAAAGTCCCTTCTTTACAAAAACGTTCCGTATGGAACCGATATTTTCAACATGTTTTCAACAACCACTAGCCTTTTTTGGAAACGCTGATCCGATCACCAGCTGGTTGTGTTTTATCCTTCTTCAATGAACACAATTGAGAAAAGACAAAGCACATCAGCTGGTTATCGGGTTAGGACCGGTTTATCAGTGGACGGTTACCTAGTTTAGCTGTCAGTTAGCTATGTTTTCTTTCTGCCAACATGAAAAGATGATAAGAGTTATAAGATGAGTGCCACGGCGAATGGCGTGAGTGGAGTGTGACTAGTGACATTTTTATACTTACGAGGGTATACTAAAAATTCAAATTTTTGATTTATGGAATTCTCTCATAAAATACAACTCAACCAATGGAAATATATCTATAATTTTTGACAAATTTGCACTCATGCATTTTCATCTGAAAAAGGCACTCGTGCTCTTTTTCAACTGAAAATGCATTCGGGAAAGTTTGCCAAAAATTTTCGATAATCTCCATTGCTTTCGTTATATTACTATCGACTAAAAGATTTCCTGTAGGTAACTCCTTTGAAACAATATTGAAAAAGAAACTAAAACGATTATTTGAAGGACGAGACGAGATTAGTCGAGGATCTTGTCTCGTCTCGCATCTTTTGGTCTCGTCTCGTCTCGTCACGAAGTCGAGACTAAATGGCCTCGAGACGAGACGAGATTAGGGCGAGACGAGACGAGACGAGACGAGAGTGTCATTTCAGTCTCGTCTCGCGGCATCACTACCCTAAACTAAGATCTCGGGGGCCCATAAAATAGTACAACGTCGGTCTTCCATTTGAACGAATAGCGATAGATATTGCCGGATCATTCCCCGAGTCAGAGCGTGGTAACAAACACATCTTGGTTATCATGGATTACTTCAGTAAATGGCCAGAAGTTTACGCTATTCCCAATCAAGAAGCCATCATTATTGCCCAGGTACTAGTGGACGAAGTTATCAGTAATCATGGTGTGCCACTAGAGTTGCATTCAGATCAAGAACGAAACTTCGAATCTGTCATCTTTAAGAAAATTTGTGAGATAATGGGTATTCGTAAGACAAGGACAACACCTTTATATCCACAGTCTGATGGCATGATAGAACGATTTAATAAGACTATAGAGGAACACCTGACAAAAGTGGTCGCAAAGAACCAGCAAGATTGGAACAAAAACTTGTCTCTATTTTTAATGGCTCACAGAGCAGCTGTTCACGAGTCAACAGGTGAAAGAGTCCAGCTAGAATCGTTTTTGGAAGGAAATTCATACCTTGCGATCTGATGTTTGGAATACCTGAAGAAGAACGAAAAGAAATTCGAGATTATGCCGACAAAATAAGGGCACGACTTTTGGGAATACACGATTTAGCTCAGGAGCACATTCAGCTGGCTGGTGACCGAATGAAGACCAGATACGACTTGAAAGCCAATTCAGCCGGATTTCAAGAAAGTGATCTAGTGTGGCTGTATAATCGAGCAAGACAGAAAGGAGTGTCACCGCAATTGTCTTCAGCATGGGAAGGACCTACCGAATAATCAAGAGGATCAATGATTTGGTTTATCCAGTTCAGCGCAGCACCAGGAGTAAGATGAAAGTTGTACATCTAGGTAGATTGACAAAATTCATGATCGTGAATTTGATCGGGATGATCAATCTTCAGAGGAGGGCAATGTAAAGGAATTTACGTGCGCTTCCGCCAGAAGATATGAAAATTGGATAGCGGAATTCTAGATTTTTACAGTGCTTTTCGGGAAAAAGGTCTATCGCGTTTATTATAGATTTTGCAAGAATAGATTACGGATATATAAAGGCCGGTATTAGTAGGTAGTTTTAAAGTTTAAGATTGGCTGTGATACGTTTTGGATAGTGATTATTGTAAAAGTTGTAAAGAGTTGTTTCAGTTAATTAGTGAAGTAGGTAATTAGTGTCAGAGTGTGTAGTAACGTGGAATAAATTATTGCTGTGTTAATTTGACTTTGATTTTGGAATAAACGAACCCAAGATTTCTGTCACGCACCCCCAGAGCCGAGACAATATGGTTTTACTAATTTTTGATGATAGCCCTTATTGAGGCAAACATAAATTTGACGCAGCCCGACACCACCACAATTCCCAGAAAGTAATTCCTCAACGATTAGGATACTTAACCGATTATCCTGTCAGCCTCAAGGCATTATGGGGGGCAGCTATCAGTTGGAAGTTGGAAATTCGAACCTATAACATTAGGTCTAAAGCGGTCAGCTGAAAAAATTATAGAAATTGAGGATGTATTTGATGACGTATACTGGGACGCTCTGATGAAGTAAAACAAAGAGGGAAAAACAGCTTTGATCTGAATGCTGGGTATGTTTGGAAAAAAAACAGGTGAACGAAACATACGGAATAGGGTTTATGATCAGAAATGACATCAAGACATACTTCCAGACATTCGAGGACGTTTCTATTGAAGTTGGATACACCATCCTTCCATCTTGAATTTCAATAAGAGCATTTTTATGAGAGCATGAATATGATCTAGACTTTTTTTCTGGAGGAGATAGCAAACATGCAGAGCAACAAAACTATTATCATGGGCGACCTAAATGTAGAGCTCCTAATACAACGACATAGATAACTTCGGATAGGGATCCAAAAATATGAAAGAACAGGCTATATGAATACCTAGAAAAACAAAATAGGCATGCTGATAATAATCACTTTGGGAAAACCCGCAACAGAAAATAGACCTGGAACTGCATGTCACCAGATGGTTTATCAAAAGACGAAAATTTTTCCTATGTAAAATATACATCTTTGAAGGTGTTACTGATTTTCCCAGCCCGTTTTTACAGAGAAATGCACAAAAAGAAGAATCAGTAGACAAAAATAATATCAATGTTAGATTAAACGAACAACTATTAACGGGAAGGAAAAAAGTAAGGAAGAAAAACAGAAAAGGGGATTAGATAAGCGCTTTGATGCGATGCAAAAAAGCAATGGTAAACTATACAAAATAGAATTTAGAGTAATGGATAAAATCTCAAAAACAAATCTCAAAGAAGACACAAACCAAAACAACGAAGCTATGATGGTAGGTAAAGGCCTAAAATGTCTTAAATCAAGATTAGCTACCAACAAAATCATGCACATGAAAAATGAAAATGGACGGAGGAGAAGAAATGGAACAAAGGAAATTGACTGCAGCTGTGATAAGCTTGTATCATGATTCATGATTATTCAATGCAGGAGCTCGACATTGATGCACAAATCAATAACCAGCGAGAAATATCAAATATATTTGCTGAAAATATACCTAATGAAGCACAAATCTTGGTTTTGGCAAGCTTTCATAGATCCCAAAGAACCAAAACATTTTACTCTTACTGGGAAACAGAGTTTCTATTATACCTACCCATAATGATATATGGTTGTCCGACACACAGGACAGTTGGAGGAAATGTTTCAGGTTCTTACCGACTATTTTGTCCGGAACATGCTGGATCAGGTATATTCTCATCAGAAGGGGGCCCGTGCGGTGCCGTAGTAATATTTTGCTGCCCTCCTTGAAAATAGAACCCGCCCAAACCTACAGCACCCAAAGGGGTTCTTCGCCCAGGTACTTGAGATTCTTCTTGCGAAAAAGTTCCGTAATTTGGTGGCTGATGATCTGGCAGTGCAGCTGTTGAGGAACTGGGTCCTGAAGAACTACCCTATAAACATATTTTAATCGAGTTTATTATTTAGTATATCAATTTTTTTCTTACAGGCAATCCTCCTTGCCATCCCCAATTCGATCCAACAACATTTCCTCTCATCCAGGGAGCCTGGATCATACTCCGGGAGATGGCGTGAGATGTATCTTCGCTTTCCGATGAAGAGTCGCAGTCATATGATTTCATTATTTATAATAATTATTGCCTTATTTTACAAAAACTAGGTGATTCGTATATAGAATAAGCGTACTGTAGAGTGTAGACCGCAACTTTTCTAATAAAATTTCCGTTTGTGAGGGATTTTAGATTTTGAAACTGGCATACCTATTTTTAAATGCACTAGCAACGGTTCTATTAATCTTTATTTTCTTATTGTTGGTTTCCAAATAATTTATCAATGTCTTATACCTAGATATCTCCTTTAAACGCTTACGTGTTTATTATCACCATGACCGGACAATGAGGCCATTAATCATCACTAATTTTCACTAAAACTGCATCACACACATTTTTCACTGCCGGAAAATGTCTATTTAGGTATTATTTATTTATTTTTCGATATAAATGTGTAATGTATACTATTATAATAGGACTAGAGCACGACACCAAAACTACAGATGAAAAATTGACAGATGCGGTCCTCCGCAGCCAACATTTGGGGGGTAGTTTTGGTGCCAGGGGCGGAGAATGTACACGAAAAACTGGATATTTTAAATTTGTTCAGGCTTGCATGGAAATATTGGTTACATGTGATTTATTAATTTTCTACTGCTAATACCTAATAACATTAGTTTTACAAGATTCTTTTCATATCCTTATTTTGGAATTCATATTGGTAGTTTCATAGGCAGTCAGCTGAATTTATTTTAAATTTTTTGAAATGTTTGGTAGGTACTTATAGAATAGGTACATTGTTACCTACCTATAATATTTTATTAAAAATGTGTAACAAAATAATTATTAATGCTTTTCAAAAAACATCGTGACCAATTGACCAATGCAAGATACAAAATCAAAATTATTAAACAATTTTGAAAAACATACTGCTGGCTGAGAGGCAATGTGATTCCGTATAAGTGGAAAAAAAATTACAATTTTTTTGTTTTTAAATCTTGTAATTGACAATTTAATTCTCCAGCGTAAAAATTTTGGTTGTTCCGCCTCTGCAAAATATCGTTCGATTTCGGTTTTATTGTGACCGAACAACCCCAACACTAAACTCACCCCTCTATACTCTGAATCCAGGAGAACAAAAGAGGATGCCGTTGCCAGGGTAACCTGGGGGAGTTAGTTTGGGACTTTTGGGAGTTTCTTTTACGAGGTGAGTGCTGCCGCTAAACGGAATTTAATTTAACTAAAATCAATTCGACAATCACTTGGATAATATAGATAATTTTGGAAAGATTTTTCCGAAATAAAAACGCTAAATATTTTTAAAATTATTTTAGTTTTATTCTGTTTGAGAAATAACTACCTACTTTTCTGAAAATGAGTGCCAGAAGTAATTCTTCACATTGAATTGTTTCTATCAATTCAATTACATACTACATATTTCATGTTTCAATTTTCCATTTGAACCAGTAACGTCGGTAACTGGTAAAAAATGTATAGGTCGACCGTGAATAGTTTCGCACTACAGTACAGTTCACCATTCTTTCCAATGCTGCCCAGGCGAGCAGGGTTATTTGTAACTACTTTTCTAGATGTATTGTTCTTTTCGCTATTTTTGTTTTTTATCAATGTTCATTGTTAGACCTATTTCTTCGAATCATTCTCTGAGCTCTTTTATCATTCTTTGCAATGGGGCTATCTGTTATAAGGACTAGATAATCCTCAAATCTAAGACTGTTCAGTCTTCGCCATTCTTTGGTTAATGCCACAGTTTTTTCAAGTTACAGATTTGGAGCTAGCCTTTAACGCCAGCGTAAACAATCTTGTCGATGAAGGGTATCTAAGAGTCGCCATGTACCTATTATGCCCTTTTTTCCCGAATTCAGTTCGTAAGAAAAAAACTTCTTCAAGCAAAGGCTGAAGTACACAGAAGGACAAGAATACTAAAAAACCGATGGTGGACAACAAAATAATTGAATTGGAACATTTAGCAGCCAACAACAAAGCCTTCTTCAGCGCCACAAGGCCAATCTATGGTCCCTCTACAAAAAAATTAAATGCCAGTAGATTTAGAGATGGGACCCAGTTATGCAAAGATCCCGCTTCTATCAACTCTTGATCAAAGGAGCAATATTCGGGAACTCTTGAACACAACATCCTCATCGAAAAATTAAGATACTATGGGATCATCACAGCACTCAGTTGCTCCAGGATTACTTATCCGACAGGACAGGGGACAGGTGACTGATGTGTTGTTGCATACTGGTCTGAAAAGAGAGTGATGAGGCTTGGCATTGTCCAGGGGTCAATTTTGGGCCCACAGCTTTTCCTGATCTATATAAATCATTTAGCGGCAGCGTTGCCCAAGTGCAAGTTGGTTGTCTACGCGGATGACAACGGATTGTCTACTAAAGCCAAGACTCAAGACGGGGTAGTTGAGAAGATGCAGGTGTGTGCCGACAGAGATAATTGGAAGTTTGTCTCAAATCGTCTAACGGCGAACCAAGACAAAACTGAGAATATAAAAAAAAATATACCTGTACTTGACGCTAAAAAAAAATTATGCCCTAGCAACCAAGACCATAAAGTTCTAAGGAGTGGAGTATAACTTTAAACACGAAACTTACATTCGAGGTACCTACATGCGAAAATAATTTCAAAAAAGCTATATGTAGCAACATACATTTCAAGAAACTTTTCCAAAATAGTAGACACATATCTCCAATAGCATACCATGGACTTTTTCATTCGGTCTACGTATATGGCCTGCTCACCTGGGGGCACTTGTAGCGAAAAGCAGTGAGGATTATCGCTGGTCTTGAATACTAAGATAATACAAAACCAGCGCTTCAGTCAATGAAAGTTCTCACTCTCGCCTCTCAAATTCTCGAGTCTTCCTGTTTTTCCACTAAAACTCCGAGAATTATGCTCCAGGACAAGAACTGCACGAGTTCTATACAAGGAACAGGAAAAACACGTCCCGATTTCATCTGATTAAAGATATCTGTCTTCGCGAGGGTTAAGAACCTTGCCTTTGGGCAATTCAAATATAAAATAAAGCACTTTTTAATCTACAAATGCTTTTATACAAAACTAGCTAATGATCCGCTATGCGTTGCCAACGTGAAAATACATTTTGAAATAATACACTTTTTTTCAATTTTTTTTGTTGATTTTCTAAAAGTTTTTTTTTAATCCGATACCAGAGTCGCTTGCCAGTGAGTTCAGTGACGCATTTTAAGCACTCCAGAGCTGCTTTAGAGCGCCCCGGGCTGTTTATAGGCGTTCCAGTGTATCAGAGTTTCGCGCAACTGAACTAACTATAACTATTGATTTGGGTTCTTTTGATTTCCTTGATGCTTTTTATTTGGGGATACTATTTTCTATTGGTAAATGTACTAATTTGATTTTTTCTTTGCGATATTCCTACTGGGAATACAACAAGTATGTAAGGTTTGTTTCTCTTTGTCAACATTTCCTCAAATGCCAAAGTGCATCAATTAGAGTTCTGGATAACAATAGGGTAAATGGCAGATATCGATTGTCAAGGCATTCCTTTTTAAGTAATGTTTTGTATTATGTAAAGAGTAGCATGATTTCAAATCGCGTCCTCACACTCTCTGACTCCGGTGCCAAATGTGTGCAGGGCAACATTGTCAAGCTGTCAAATAGTGTCAAGTTGTCAAATAGTGAAGAACTTACGTGTGTAGAACTTAATGTTCCAATTACCCCTGTGGGTCTTGTAGATGGTATTGATCATGTTTTTTCATCTACTGGCGGTGAAAATGTGCCCAACAACCTAGCAATAAATATCTCGCAAAAATCTGATAGCTTGCCTTTTTTATGTCCCCCTTCAATAATAATAGAAGAAGGGTAGATTCAAATTCAAATTCTGTGTCAATACTTACCTTGAACATCCAATCTGTTCGCAATAAAATCAAAGAGTTTGAGGTTTTCTTGGAAAACTGCAACAGACCAGACTTAATCTTGCTCACAGAACATTGGTTAAAAAACTGGGAGCCTTTTCACTTGCCAAATTATTATATTGTCTCAAACTACTGTAGAGACTCCTCCAATGGGTATGGAGGTACAATTATTTTAATGAAAAAATCATTCTCTTTAAACTTCAATATGGAGGAGGTTGACAAGTATGACTTCTTGCGTGTGGAAAAAGAATTCGAATTTTCGATTGCATTTAACAGAAGACACAATTTGTATTTAATTTGTATATATAGACCTCCAAGAACAAATGCTACAGGTTTTTTAGTGAACTTAGAAACCATTTTATTGGATTTACCGGTTAATTGTAAGGTCATTTTGTCAGGAGATCTAAATATTAACTTTATTGACAACCAATCACCAGCTACTCTGGCATTAAAGGACCTACTGTGCTCTTATGGTTTGTCCATGCATGTTGATTCTCCTACCAGGGTAGCTGAAGATTCTGCTACTGTTATTGACTATTTTTGTACTAACTTATCCGAGAACGGGGTTAACTGTGAAATGGTTTCCACCCCTGGACTGTCAGACCATGAGGCATTGTTAGCCAACTTCTCTCTACTCTGCACAAAACAAAAAATACCCCAAAGATATGGGAGGGTTTTTTCAAGTCGGAATTTTGAAAGATTTAATACTTGTTCTTCCTTGGTGGACTGGGAGTGTGTGCTTGCTTCAGAAAAACCTCTGGAATTGTTCCATACACTGTTGCACAATACGTTTGCCAAGAGCTTTCCAGTGTGCAATATGAGAGCAAAAAAGCCCAAAAAAAACTGGATTACGAAAGGCATTAAGACTTCCTCAAGAAATCTTAAATCTTTACATTTCATCAAAAAGTTTGCCGATAGTCAGTATTTTATAAATTATTATAATGAATATCGGAAAATTTATAGGAAAGTTATCGGATCAGCAAAATTACAATACTATCAAAATAGAATCTCTAATGCAAAAAACCCTTCAAAAGAGGCATGGTCCATTGTGAACGACCTAAGGGGCAAGCATAGCCATGCAGAAAAGTCAGCTGATATTCAGCCAAACATTCTAAATGAATTCTACTGTTCAATTGCGAAAAAAATTTCAGACAAGATAGAACCCGCCTTAGATCCCCTCAGTTATCTTAGCCATTCACACATCGATGAAACATTCACTTTAACAGAAACAACTGTAGAGGAACTTAAAATCATAATCAGAGACATAAAAAATAAAAACTCTGCTGGAATAGACGAGATGTCTGTCAAAATCTTTCAAAACTTAAATGATAATAGTCTCTATGTGCTGTCACAGGCCATCAACAAATGTTTTGAGGTTGGTGAATTCCCCGACTCACTTAAGGTTGCCTTGGTGGTCCCCATACATAAAGGTGGCTCCTTCAAGGACCCAGCTAACTTTAGACCCATTTCACTTTTAAATACCCTGTCAAAAATAGTGGAGAGGGTGGTGAAGAATAGACTGACTGTGTTTTTATCACGTAACAATATAATTAGCGATTGTCAATTTGGATTTCAGTC